GCCATGGCTACACCTGGAAGTCAGAGGAGAGCTTGTGAGGAAAGCAGCTCTCCATCCACTGTGTGGATTCTGGTGATGCAGCGCAAGTCGTCAGGCCTGGCAGCAAGTGCCTTTACCCAGTGAGCCATCTCTCCAGTTCCCTTCATACCCTCTCTCCTTTCGTGTGTGTGTGTGTGTGTGTGTGTGTGTGTGTGTGTGTGTGTGTGTGTCAGGGTCTTGTATTGTGGTGAGGGTAGTAAGCTAGAACTTACTTTGTAACCCAGTCTGGCCCAGAACTCCTGACAGTCCTTAGCCTTTTTAGTGCTGTGATTACAGACGTTAACTGCCATGTCTGGCTGGATGTTTCCTTTTACTTTAGTGAGAGGGCAGGTGGGGTCTCATGTGGTCCAGGTAGTCCTTTTTCATTTTTTTTTTTTCCAGGGTTTCTCTGTGTAGCCTTGGCTGTCCTGGATGCTTGTTGTAGACTGGCCTCAAACTCACAAAACCTGCCTGCCTCTGCCTCCCTGAGTCAGGGATTACTGGTATGCACCACCTTGCCCAGCTAGCCCAGTTAGTCTTGAACTTGATTAATGAAGGCTGGCCCTTTACAACTCCTGATCCTTCTGTCTTGACTTCTCAAGTATTGAGCTTACAGACGGGCACAACAATGCCTAGCTTATATGTGTATTTCTTATATGTGTATTTATATTATTGTTTTTAAATGTGTATGGCAAGTTTGCTTGAATCTGTGTAACACCACAACACACACACACACCCTCATGGTATGCCTACACAGGAGGAGAGGGTGTTGGGTCCCCTTGGGCCGAAGTTGCAGATGGCTGTTAGCCACAAAGTAGGTGCTGGGAATTGAACCAGGATTCTCTGAAGAGCAGCCAGCTCTTAACCATTGAGCCATGTCTCCAGCCCAGTGCTTGCTCTCCAAGCCTGATGACCTGAGTTCAGTATCTGGACCCACATGGTGTTGAAGGAGGACAGGGTCCCACAGGTAGGAACCCTCTGATTCCCACATTGTTCTAGCGCTGCACTCCTGCATGCTTGTGAGCACTTTAAAAAAGTCATGTGCTTTCAATTTTAACCATTTCCCCCTCTTTTTATAATCTTACTTGAATTTGTGGTTTTCCTTCTCTTGACCCTGCCTTCCAGATGCTGAGGTTACCAGTGTGTGCCTCACACTTGGCCTGTGATGGCTTTTCCTTTTTTTTTTTTTTTTTTTTTTTTTAAGATTTTATTATTCATACACTGTTCTGCCTGCATGTACACCTGCAGGCCAGAAGAGGGCACCAGATCTCACTATAGATGGTTGTGAGCCACCATGTGGTTGCTGGGAATTGAACTCAGGCCCTCTGGAAGAACAGCCAGTGCTCTTTTCCTCGTCTCTCCAGCCCCTGTGGTGCTCTTTTAAAGTTTGTTTTCGTCTCGTTTTGTGTTTACCAGGCATGGTAGCACACATCTTCAGTCCCAGCGGGTGGGACTCAGGCAAGTGGGTCTCTATGAGTTTGAGGCCCACGAAAACCTTTTTTGTGTGTGGTAGTGAGACACCGTGTAGCACTTCAGTTGTCCGGTGGCGACAGTTCTCAGACAGTAAGGATCCTGTGCTGGTAGTGCGTCCTTTGTTCTTCAGAATGTTTTTAGCTGGAAGAGTGTGCACAGCGGCCCTGAGGAACGCTGGGAGTGGAGGGTAGCCTGCGGCAGTGCTCCTCTCTCGCTGCCAGCAGCAGAGTGTGCTGTTTGGAGACAGCAGTGCACCACTGAAGCTGAGCTGTTTGATCTAGCCTTTCTCCACCCAGGCTGGGGCCTGAGGAGGCGTGCCCCCCTGTGTCTGGAGACGCACTCAGCTTCTGGCCTTGTCTCTGTCACCTCCCTCCCACCTCTGGTTGGCATTTCACTTCACGTTTTCATTTTAAGTTTGGGCTTTAGGAGGGCTGTTGGTCTTTCTCTGGCTGAATTACCTGTGCTAGCAGGTATGGATGAGCAAGTACTTTTGCTTGCTTCAGCTGGGTGGTGAATTGGGATTCGTGGGGGGGGGGGGTTAAGGAGGGAGAGTGTGTCTGCCTAATAAGGGAGCTGGACTTTGCACTTGTTAGTGGCCCGTGGTCCTTCTCCAGGGGTCAGTAAGGCTGACCTGAGGGCACATTCACGGGTAGGTGGGACAGACTGCTGTGAGAGTGGCTGATTGTCCAAACGCGCAAGAGCCTATCCCTCCCATTTGGGTTTTATAGCTAGGAGATAATACGGGTTGCTTGAGGCAGAAAATCTGTCTTTACCAAAAAACAAAACAAAAAAAACCCCACACAGCTTTTACTGAATGTTTCCAAATGAGCAAATGGAAGGCTAGGCTTCTTTTCTCATACTTGATCTTCAGTCCTTAAGGATGGGGCTGATTGCTGATGTGCTCCCAAGTCTGTCTGTGGCCACCTCAGGGTTAGGAAGCCACATAGTTAGGGGTTTGCTCATTGTGACCTGCAAAGGAAACTGCTGGAAAGACTGAAGTCTGAGTCTTTGTACAGCGGTGAGGGAACAGGTGCAGTTTGGCTCCTGGCCCGGGTCTGCACAATGTAAAGTTCATCAGGCGCATGGGATAGGCAGGCGCTGGTGTCGTAATTCTAGGCCTTACTGGTTGGTATGACTGGCCACCATCACATGATGCTTGCTCTAAGTATAGCCTGCTTTTCTGGCAGCTGCAAACACCTGGAAAAGCAAGCGCAGAGGCCCAGCCAGAAATATCTGCTGCTCCTAGGTGTCCATTGAGCAGTTGTTCCCTTCCATGCTTGTCCGCGCTAAAAGCGGCCGCTGGCTCGGGAGTGCAGTCGCGTTCTGCAGAGAAGTATACAGGTTGGCTCTTTGTCTGATATGGGAACTGGCGATGAGCGCACTGATGTGAGACAAGAGAATCCCTTAATATTATTAGAGATGCCTTTGATCTCTGTGATGGACATAGCTTATTGAAACAGCCTTGGTGGCTTTTGGTTTCTGGCCCTGGCAACCTGAGCCAGCCCTGAAAGGACACTCTTCTGTTGGGGAAGACTCTGAATCATGTGCTTGGCTTCTTAGTAGTTAGCCAGGTGGCTCTTCCAAGAAAGAAGGTGCAAGTAGCAGTTTGCTTTGTTCCTTTTCTTTTTTATTTTGGCAGATCACAACTGTCTGTAACTCCAAGATCTGACACTCTCACATAGACATGCATGCAGGCTACCAAAGGACATAAAATAAATACATTATTTAAAAAAAAAAAAAGAGTAAAAAGTGCTCTTAACCTATGAGCCCTTTCTCCAGCACCCCAATAGCTTTTAAACATGAAAAAGTGGACACTTCTTTTACAGAAAAAAAAGTTTTGTTTTTTTTTTTTGAAACAGTCTTCATACTTAGGTAAGACTGGGTGCAAACTGTAATCCTTTTGCATCATGCTCCTGGATACTTATAGGCTTGAACTACCACATCCAGCAAAAAGAATAGCATTTAAAAATGTCAGTGAGAGATTTTATTTTCAAGTTGGCAGAAATCCAGCACAGTGAGGAAACACTGACCGTCATCCAGCAGGGAAGCAGGCGCTGCCGTGGGTGCAGTGCTAGCATTGGCCTGCATCTTTTTACGGAAGGAAGTCTGTTCCCAGCAGTGGCAATACAAATACACCCTCTGAGAACCACGTAATGAATTTATTCATAAACGCTGTGCATATGGACAGGGTGGTAGGTGTTGGCCTCTGAAAAAGCCGAGGTTGCAAACACTGCAGTTGCTCGGTTAACTAGTGGACTGCCTTAGAGTGACCACAGCTGTGTAGACAGTGTGCCTGCTCACTATTGACAAAGGTGACAGAATCATCCTCCAGACTTAGTGCCCGGCTTATAAAGCCGGGAGCCGTGTCTAATGGTGTGCCCGGGAGTGAGAGTTCATGCTGTATGTACAGTGTGTGCGTCCGGAGCCCTGGCAGGAGCGCTGTTCTTGTGTGGCAGTGTCAGGAGAAGAGGGAGCACACTTTATCTCCCATTGAACAGTGCATCTTCTGTTTGATGTACGTGGATTCTTTTGAAGAAAAAAAAAAAAACAATTTGAGTACTTTAAAAGTGGAACTTCGGCTGTCAAGATGACTCAGGGGTGGGAATGCTTGTCACCAAGCCTAATGACCTGAGTCTGATCCACAGAGATCACATGCTGGAGTGAGAAAACTGACTCCCACAGGCTGTTCTCTGGTCCCACCTCTGTGCCACGGCATGCATACATCCTACTTATACATGCCCGATAAATAAGTAAATGGTTTTTGTGGTTTGTTTTATTCTGTCTTACGGAGACAAGTTCTCTCTACGTGTCCTGGAACTCTATATGTAGACCCTCCAGACCTTGACCTCACAGAGATCCTCCTGCCTCTGTCTCCCAAGTGCTGGGCACTTTGATCCCTTAAAGGCACAAACCACCACATCCAACTTGTTTTCCCCTCTTTATTTTTAATTTATGGAGGTTGCTGGAGAGGTGGTTCAGCAGGTACTTGCTGTTCTTCGGGGGACCCAGATTCCCAGCACTCACATCAGCTGCCTCTCAACTATTGTAACTCCAGCTCCAGGGGATCCAATAAATCTGGCCTCTGTGGGCACCTACAATGTGCACACAGGCGCATACACACATACACCTATGCACAATTAAAATAAGATCTTTTAAAAAGACTTGCAAAGTGGTGGCCTTCCTCGCTCTGCCCAAATCCTGGAGTTCCAGGCTCGTGCCACCACACCTGGCCTTGGAGAAGCTCTAAGCTGCTGCTCTTCTGTTTTGTGGATGTGTGCTTCTTGTTGGTAGTGGCCTGTTAGCCCTCTCAGCACACCTTCAGGAGAGGGTGACATTAAGTTTGTTGGTTCTGCTTTTCCACCTGTTCTCAGCAGTGATCAGTGGCTTTTAAAGGCTTGGTAGTGGGCGCCTCTGGCTCTGTGGCCAACCCTAAGAAAGGGTTTCCTTGGGTTAAACAGTTCAGATAATATTCTCTAACTGTACTGAGGTCTTTTGTCTTTTACCTGTAGGAACTTACAAGCAGCAATTGGCGCCTATTACGACTTTGAGAGCCCAAATGCCAGTGTGCCCTCCATGTCCTTTGTGGAAGACGTCACCGTAGGAGAAGGGGAGTCTGTACCTCCTGACACTCCGTTTATAAAAACATGGCGCATCCAGAATTCCGGTGAGTCTGACAGCAGTGTCTACACTGAATTTTTTTTTTAAATAGTTAGCAGAAGAAGGGAATGTTTTAGGTTATGTCTGATTTTAGGCAGATCTTTCCTTCCTTCCTCCTTCTCTCTTCCTTTTTCTCTTTCTCTTTTTTCTCTTTTTCTTTCTCTTTGTTTTTCTCTTTCTCTTTTCTTTCTCTGTTTCGTCTTTCTCTTTTTCTCTTTCTCCTTTCTTTTTTTCTCTCTTTCTCTCTTCATTTTTCAAGACAGGATTTCTCTGTGTAGCTCTAGCTATCCTGGAATTTACTCTGTAGACCAAGCTGGCCTCGAACTTAAAGAGATCTGCCTGCCTGTGCCTGGAGCACTGGGATTAAAGGCATGTGCCGCCACCGTCCAGTGTGGCTGAGTTTTTAAATGTACAGTATGTAACATTTTCTTGTCCCAGCACAATGAGCAGACACCAGGGAACTATCTGAGAATAGGAAGAAGCCTTAGTCTCTTGCTGCATCAAGATACAAGCTAATATTCATTTGCTACTAGGAAGTTGGCGTGTGTGGTACTGTCTCCACCTGGAGTTCTACTGCGGAATTTCTTTTCTGCTCTCATCACTCCCTGTCCTCTGGCAGGTCCGAGGGGGTGCCTCCTTGACTAGAGAGAGTCAGGGTAGTTGGGAAGAGGTGTGGGCATCTGCTCCTTGGAAGTTCATTTCCGTGCGGCCACAGTACTCTGAAATTGTGCTGCATGTCTGTGAGGGAGTAGAGCACCAAGGAGTGTGCAGATGTGTTCAGAGGAACCTTCCAATGAAGCACACTGTAAGTTAGCATGGCGTCACACAGCTGAAGGAGTGCTGCAGGTGTGTGGGCAGCCTGGGCTACTTACTGGAATCCCAAGCAGCCAGCGCTGCACAGTGAGACCCATCCCAACACAGAAATGAACACTAGATGGCAGTTAAGTGAGTGCCTTGTTCTGACTTGTGGGTCAGTGAGTTACATGGTTCTCTGACAGTGGAACCTGAGCATGTCTGTTTCCACCTCTGCCTGTTAACGGCTTTAAGCTTTGTGTCTTTGTCTTGCCGATGGAGAATCGAGCTTCCTGGCTGAAGGTGTTTACGTGGTTAGTAATGAAGACTGGAAAGCGTGGCAAAAAGTGGCATTCAGCTGGGGCTGAGCTGTGTGCCATGCCCTGTCTATCGTGGCAGTTTGATGTTAGGTGACATGAAACTCACAGTACCCAAGTAGACCTCAAAATAATAATAATAATAATAATAATAATAATAATAATAATAATAATAATAATAATAATAATAACAACAACCTTTTTTGTTTTTTACCTCAGTTTCCTCTTTGTAATTTAGTTGATTGTGATGAGGAGACTCTGACTAGCCTGCTTTGTCTGTTTGATAGGGAGCCCAGCCTGGCCTCTGTCTGACACCCGGCAGTCCTCCTGCCTGCTTTACACTAGAATTTCATACGAGAACCCCCTTTCCTGTCATAGTCCAGAGACTCCTAGGAGAGTTGAGATAGCTGACTAAACACTGAGGGAGCAGCTGGGTAGCTGATCTTTCCTGAGCCCTCTCCCTCCCTGCTCATCACAGTGGCGCTTTGGTAGTTGGAGGTACATGGTGACACAGGAAAATCTCACATTTTCTGGTTTCTGTTTTTTCTTTAAATTCTCAGCCAAACTCTGGGTTTCTGTTTTTGTTTTGTTTTGCTTTTTACTTTGCTTAATTTCTTTTCACTTAAAAAATTTTCCAGGTCAGCTCCTTTTCATGATCTCAGAATTATGCATCTAGTATTACAGACTAAACATGTTTTCAAATTAAAAAGTGGTTTTCTGTTGATTCTTTTTTTTTTTTCTTTCTTTCTTTCTTTCTTTTTGATTTTTTGAGACAGGGGTTCTCTGTGTAGCCCTGGCTGTCCAACTTGCTCTGCAATCCAGGCTAGCCTTGAACTCAGACCCACCTGCCTCTGCCTCCTAAATGCTGAGGTTAAAGGTCTGCCCTGCCACACCCAGCTCCTATTTTACTTTGAATGGTGGGGACTTATGAGATCTTCCTGCTTTACCTCCCAAGTGCTAAAATTACAAGCGTATGCCACCATACTAGTTTCTGAAAATCATTTTGAGTGAAATTTGTTTGAAAACTGATTTATTCAAAAGTTTGATTTAAGATTAAGCCAATGCCTTACATACTTACAAAAGTAAAAAAATATCTGAAAAATATGTGAGTCCTTTAGTAAGTTTAAAAATAAATTGGTATGTGTGGCTGTTTATATGTTTGGGTGCTTGATGCTGAAAGAGGCTGGAAAAGGGTCTCATCTTCTAAGGTGGAGTTACAGAGAGTTCTGAGCCACCGTGTGGGTTCTGGGAATTAACCCTGGGACCTCTGGGCCATCTCTCTAGTCTCGTAATACATGTTTTTATTTATTTTGTGTTGCGGCAGCACAAGTGATGCCTCATCTCTCCTGTCAGTGTGTGGGTCGTGGGTATTGGACTGTTTATAGCTTTTAGACAGACACCTTTTACCTACCCTCTTGGCCCCTTCACCAGCCATTTGTTTATTTAGAGACAAAGTCTTACCATACAGTTCTGCCTGGCCTACAGCTCAAAGTTTGCCCACCCAGTTATTTATTTGGGGCTTTGTTTTGAGACAGGGTCTCTCCCTATAGCCAGACTAGCCTCAAGTGTGCAATCTTCCTGCCTCATGAGGCCACCTCAGTCTGGGTTAAAGACGTGTGCCACGCTAGCCTGCCACAGGGCTGTGATTATGAGGCCAGGGAAGCCAGAGTGTGCTATTAATCCAATACTTTCAAGACAGAAAGTTGAAGGTATTGAGCACCAGGCCAGCCTGAGCTAGAGAAGGTGAGGGAGGGGCCAGGCAAGCAGGCAGGGTAGAGACCATGTCCCCAGACAATAACAAAACTTTGTTGTAAAGTAGCTGTTTTGCTTTCTGCAGTCGATAGCCCTGCAGATGTGGGGAAGCTGTCTGATGGTTTTCATACCAGATCAGAAACCCAAAGCCCCCTTTCTCCTGACCTAAAACTTGAGGTTGCTGCTGTTGGCTCGCAGAACGTATGTGCGAAAGGCAGTTGTTGTGTCTCAGTTGGAATTGAGTGAGATTTTATCCTTCAAGGTACCATGCACAAACAGGTTTCACTCTTCTACAGCTGAAGCTGGTAAGGTGTAGCTTTATCCCTGCAGCCTGAGACTTTCCGTCTGACGAGGGGCTGCGGAGGGCCTGTGTCTTCAGGAAACGGTGTTAGTGTAGAAGTAGAGTAGACACAAGCCACTTCTGCTTTTTGACTGTCACTCATGCCTGCTTCTGGAGAAGGTGCTCCCTGAGAGGGTTAGATGCATAGAGCTGTCATGGCGCCTCTTGCTTTAGGTGCCAGACAGCAGGTGAGCTACATAATGACTCTGCATGTAGAGGTCCCAGAAACCAGCTTTCCCCAGAGTTTAATCATCATATACTTTCAGATCAGCCTTGGCATTTAGCTGTGTAGATGCACACATCTAGGATTGAAGCAGTGAAGACTGAGTAGGGCTGGATACTCATCTAAGTTAGCTAGTAGAGTGTACCTTGAACACAAGGCCTGGGTTCATTCCCCAGCACGCATGTACACTCTAAAAAAAAAAAAAATGTAAGCAGTCAGCTTTTTGTCATCAACTTACAGCTTCTTAGTCTTTCTAATACAGGCTCAGCTACACTGGCTGTAGTTTCTTATGGATGCTGCACAGCTGTGACTGTCACATGAGCTGTGGCTTGAGTGTGCTCACAGTTGTTTGTATTTTAGAGCTTCATAGAAATGAAAACGAAACTAGACTTTGGGAAGGAATTGAAAGGAACAGTTGTTCCCCTCCCTCCGGAGAGGTGGTGTCACTGTGTAACTGGGATGATGAGACTGATCTGTGGCTGCCATCCCCCCCACCCTGTTTTCTTTATTCAGATCATTGAAACAGGCAACTTTGTCCCCTTTTTTTCAGGCTGATTACAGAGAAGATACTTCCCTGTGCTCATTTATCACATTTCAGCATATTGTAGTTACCTTGCTGGGTGTGGGGAGGTCTATCTCCGTGGAGTAGCCCCCACACCAGGTTTATTAGAGTCCCCCAGGGAGGGTTGTCTTCTGCACGACATGGACATGTCCACACATGTAGCCACAGACCTGTGGTTGTGTCCAGGCTTTTTGGAGCTACTGGATGCCTTTGTTCTGATTTTGGGGGTGCTATTATCTCAAAATTGGCACATGACAGGATGATGGGGTAGTAGTTGGTTTTTTTTGTTTTGTTTAATAAAGTGATATTCTGTGATAACAGAGCATTGCTACCTTATTTGGAACTTAATTTCCAAAATCATAAAGCACATATGAGTCATTCTTTTGTTCTAGAAAGACCTATCCAGTTTGTCATGGAGACCTAATTTGGAGTCCTGTAAGACTTCTCAGATTTCAGGTCCAGATGGCTCTCAGTCTTCCCTTTCTTCTCTGCAGCATAGGGGATGCATTTTGGAGACAGCATCCTGTTGTGTAGTTGGGTAAGCCTTGAGCTTGTGATCCCTCTGCCTGTTCTTCAATGTGGGATTAGAGGCATGTGCCCCCATGTTCAGCTGAGGGTCCCAGTCTATACCTTGTCAGATCTACCTGTCCCAGCATTGTAACTATGAGCAGTAGAAGCACACATCAGCTCGGAAGGTTGATGATGCTCGGGTCTTCCCACTGACAGCATTGCGCTCTGGAATTGAGAGGAGACACCTCTTCCACTTTTTTCTTTAAGAGGTGCTTCATGCACTACATTGAACAGGCTCAGTTAGCAGGAGCGTCCCAAAAGAGAAGGAGCCTACCTAAACCATGAAATGTTACTCCTTTGGTGTGTTTTTTTGTAGTATAACACTGTACTGTTTGTAGCTGAGAGACCTGGGTCCAGCCGTTTAGTCTTGTCTGGCCAGGAAGCCAAGTCTCACACCCATAGTTTCGGCTAGCCTTCTTTTCTTAGAAGTTAAAAAAAAAATACTTCTACTTGGATTTTTGTACTAATAGACATTGCGAGTGTGAGTGTGTGTGTGTGTGTGTGTGTGTGTGTGTGTGTGTGTGTGTGTTTGAGAGAGATATTCCCTTCTTGGATCTTGATCTTAAATTTTCTAAGGCACTTTATGTCACCTGCTTTTTTTTCTTGACCTGCAGCAAGTAAGCTGTATCAGACCCCCATAGAGAAGGCAACTGTACCAGGCCCCATAGAGAAGCAGCATTTCCACGTGATGTCAGCCACTTTCGTCAACTCTGGTTGTCCTTTAGACTGTTAACTTGAGGAGGTAAATTGGCGGGCAGTCTGTTTTACACCTTGTTTTGTTGCCTAGAGCGGCCCTCAACTCCTGGGATTAAGCCGTCTTTTAAAAACTCACTTTCTGGAAGGCCTGTGCTACTTGCCTTTCTGGCAGGGTTACTGATGGTTTCTTTTGTTGTTATTTGTTTTATCTTTAAAGGTTTTTCATTTTTAAGTTGTGCATAGATATGTGTCTGAGTGTGGGTTTGTGTGTTTGAGCCTGAGGTGGTCAGATCGCGCGCAGAGCTGGAGCTAAAGGCAGTTGTGAGCTACCCTGTGGGTTCTAGAGCTAAGCTCTGTCCTCCATCAGTGGTGTGCATTCTCTCCCCCCCCCCACCTTTTTAAAGATAGTGTTTCCTACAGTGCACCCCAGGCTTGTAATCCTCATTGTTTTATTGCAGGGATGGCAGGGATGGGCCACTTTTAAGAGAGGAGTACCTTAGTGAGGCACACCTTGAATCCCAGTGCTCTGGAGACAGGCAGAGGGTCTCTGAATTTGAGGCCAGCTGGTCTACATACTAAGTTCTGGGACAACCAGGACTACAACAGAGAAACCTTGTCTCAAAAAACCAAATCAAAACAAAACCAAAACCAAGTCTTTGTAAAACTAAAGGGGGCAGTATCACTGAGTGCATGTTAGAGCTGTTTCACAGGAACGATCACATGCCGGCATTTGTGGCTGCATATAGCACTTGATGAGTTGGCATTTAGACCCGCATTTTGATGTACACATCACAGTTTCAGTTTACACAAGAGCACAAGCCACACAGCCTTGGCAGTTACAGGAAAGGAAGGCGTGGCTGCTGAAGCTCTGGGTTCCATGCCCATCCTTTGCATTTACATGAGAGAGCACCATCCTTTGGATTTTCCCCCTCATTATTTGAACCTGAGACCTAAACAGTGTTATGAGCCCCTGGGTAGTTTATCGGATCCCAGAAGATAAATCAGACAATGAACTGGGTGTGTGTGTAAGCCAGAGGACGGCCTCAGGAACTGTCTGCTGCTGTTACTGAAGTGCGGCCTGCCAGGAAGGCTGGCTGATCCACTGTCTTCTCGGGCTGTAACTGGTATTACAAGCACGTACCACTGCACCTGGCCTTTTATATTAATGTTTTCATGTGTTTCCTGTCCATGCATGTGTATGTATGTTTTTGTGTGGGTGTGCATATGTGGGGAGTGCCTGGGCACGCATGTACACATTCTAACAGAGGTTCTAGGTTGATGTTGGGAACCTATGTCCACTGCTCTTCCGTGTTGTTTTTTGAAGCCGGTTCTTTTGTCTGACCGTCTTGGTAGCCAGCCTGTTCCGAGGACCTCCTTTCTTCTGAGGCTGAAATTGCAGGAGGACTGCTGTACCTAAGTAGCATTTACCTGGCCTTGGGGATTTGAACCGTAGTCCTCTTGCTTGCTCAGCAGGTACTGTAACTGCTGACCCATCTCCCACCCCCTACAGCTTCTTGTACGTGGGTTCTGGAGCTCAGACTTAGTTTCTTGTGCTTAGAGAGCAGGCGCTTTACTGACTGACCTGTCGCCCTGGCTGTAAAACCCTGCTTTTAAGTGTTATAGTAGAGACATCATTCCGTGATTGCTTCATCCTCTTGTCTCTAGGAAACACAGTAAACAGGCTTTGTTCCTTTCTTGTTTTGAAATGAAGGCTCCTGGGATGGCTAGGGTGGTCTGGAACTTGCTGTGGTAGACCAGGCTGCCCACAAATTCAAAATACTCTTGCCTCAGCCTCCTGAATGCTGGTATTACAGGCTTGTACCACCAGACCTGGCCGTGTTTTTGCTTTAAAAATTCAAGGGAAGTGGCTGCATGTTTCTTTTTGGTAGAGAAAGCGTTTTCTCCCAGGTGTAGGCTTGGCCTTCCTCTCCGTGGACTCTTCTTGGGCATTCTTGGGCTCCTGGGAGTCAGCTACATGTGGCCTTTTCTAAGGTCAGCGGACACAGATCTTGAGGAATGATTTTGCCAGTGACATTTGCCAACTTAATAAAAGTATACTTTTGGCCAGAGGTTGATTTCTCACAATTCCTTTTTTAAAACATTCATTTAGGGGCTGGAGAGGGGGCTCAGCGGTTCAGAGCACTGGCTGCTCTTCCAGAGGTCCTAGGTTCAGTTCCAGCACCCACACTGCAGCTTACAGTGGTCTGTAACTCCAGCTTTAGGAGATCCAAAACCCTCACACAGACACACATGCAGGAAAACACCAGTTCACATAAAATAAAAAAACATTTCAAGTGTGTATGTGCGCATGCGTGTGCTCATGCACATATAGATGCAGAAGGGCAGCTTGTGGGAGATGATGGTCTCTCTCTGCTGTGAGTTCCAGGAGTCAAATTGAGTTCGTCAAGCTTCCGGGGAGTGCCGCTTCCCACTGAGCCATCTCCCACCCTCACACTTCCTTTGCTGAATGGCACCAGACAGTGGGTTGCTCAGGGCTAGGCAGGTAGACCTGCGCATGTGTGTGAAGAGGGCTCTTGCACAGTTGACAGGAAACTCCAGCACTGGACGACTGACCTAATGTTTTTTCCTTTTCGCCTGAACTCAGGGGCTGAGGCCTGGCCTCCAGGTGTGTGTCTTAAGTATGTCGGGGGCGACCAGTTTGGACATGTGAACATGGTGATGGTGAGATCGCTTGAGCCCCAAGAGGTCGCAGATGTCAGCGTGCAGATGTGCAGCCCCAGCAGAGCAGGGATGTATCAGGGACAGTGGCGGATGTGCACTGCTACGGGACTCTACTATGGAGGTGAGTGTGTTCTAACGCACGCTAGGGCAGAGGAGGCAAGGCAGCACCTCAGAAGCTCCACAGTGTTGCTCACACAGCCTTTAGACACGATGTAGTACCTGCACGGCCTTTGTAGCCATGCCGGTAAATGCCGCAGAATTCATGACAAATTGGGCCTGTCTGGTATGCTTTTTTTTTGTCATAGAAATTTAGGCTTTGGTGGTGTGTGTGAGAGCTACTTGGCATTATAGACACTCATTTACTGGGATGCTGGCCTTGCTGTGTAATCCATAGGTGCTGTCAAAAGACCATCCCTAGACCTAAGTCATGTACATCAGAGAGTGTACAAATTGTGGGTGCTCTTTAATCCTGGGGACTTGTTCAACTACTAACACCTCTTACCCTCTTATTGCCTCGCTTTTTTTCTTTTTCTGAGTCAGGGTTTCTCTGTGTAGCCTTGGCTGTCCTGGACTCACTCTGTAGACCAGGCTGGCCTTGAACTCAGAGATCTGCCTGCTCTGCCCCCCCAGCACTGCCTCACTTTTTAAACAGTGATGCACACTCTGCAACTCAGGCCGTGCTCTATTTGTTGTGCCACCCAGTGAGGGGCAGCTGCCTGGCATTCACCCTCCTGTCCTCTCTGCTCAGCTGCAGCCCAGCCGTCAGTCACTGCTCTGAGGCGAGCTCCACTGGGCCTGCTGACTTCAGCCGCCTGTGGCTCCAGGGCCTGTTTTCAGAACCTTAAGTCTTTGTTTCAACTGATCATGGGCAGAGCACCTGAGTATTCTATAGGCTGGGACTTTAAAATTTCCCAGAAAAAAAACTTTCCTCCCCACTAACCACCTCCCTTGGTGATTGGGCAAAACCCTCGATGGTCAGTTGTTCTCCCCACTCTTCTTACTCACAGGCCAATTCCTGTTCTACTTTACCTTTGCCCTATGGGGAAGTTCTTGGCTAGGAGTGAGTGAGGCCTTTGGTATTACCTCATTCACCCTGGAAGTAATGTTCTCATATTCAGCCCATGGAAACTTTGAAGAGTTTTAGTCTGAAAGATGTAATAGTAGAAAGATGTTTTGTTGTGCTTACATGGCATCATTGCTCTGCCCGTCCTCCTGTAATGGAGGCAGATCCCTTGGCAAAAGATGAAAGCACCTTCTTTCAGCCTGGCCAACTCCCACCCCTACCAGCATTTCCAGAGATGCCAGAGTCCTGTCTCTGTGTCCTTATTGTCTGAAACCTTTCTTTCCGGCCGATTTCTGCTCACCCTCTCGGCCTAACATTGTCACCTTCCACCATTGCTTTCCCTCTTCCTACCCTCCTTACCGCCCAAGAAAATTCACTTGTTCCTTCCCAGTCCCTCCCCTGTTTTGTGTGGATGAGCATTTGCCTGAATGTCTGTATTCTGCCAGCATGTAGTGCCTTTGGAGACCAGATAGGGCGCTGGATCTCTGAGCCTGAATTACAGGAGGATGCAGCACTCCAGCCCCCCTGCCTCTTTGAGACAGGGTATGGCGTAGCCCAGACTGTTCTGAGATCCCTGTGTAGTAGCTAAGAGTGACCAATGACCTTCTGACCCTTTTGCCTCCAGCTCCCGAGGGCTCTGATTACAAGCCTATGACAGCACCCCCTTACCAATTTTGTCTTTTTCTTCCTCCTTCCCCTTTCTTCTCCCTTTCCCCTGTGTTGGGGGTAAAACCCAGGGTTTCTTGCATGCTAGACAAATAATCTGCCAGTGAGCTGTATCCTTGGCTCCTCCACAAACCATGTCTTCTTTAGCTGGGGTCTATGGGTGGGGGGGTGTATATGTGCGTGCGCGCATGCGTTTGTAGCTCAGGCTATTATAACTGCATATAACTGGCTGGCACAGAACTGAACTCTTTTTTAAAGATACTTAATCTTATGTGTGGGTGTATGTGCCTGAGTATACTTATGTGGACCATGTGCATGCACCCTTGGGAGGTAGAGAGGTGTCAGGTCTCCTGGAACTGGGACTGCACATAGTTGTGAGCGTCATCGTAGGTGCTGGAAATCAAACCCCAATGTTCTGCAAGAGCAATACACGTTCCTAACCACTGAGCCACCCCTCCAACTCCAGCACTGAACTATGCTTCCCACTACCAAATGCTCGGGTTGCAGATGCTTGCCCCATTTGGTTTGCAGTGAGGCGTTTACTTTATGTCTTTTTAAATTTTGTTTTGTTTTGAAACAGGATTTCTCGATGTAGCCCAGGCTGCCCTTGACTTACAGTGATCTTTTTCTACTTGAGCCTTCCACGTGCTGTGGTTAGAGGTGTGTGTTTGGTGGGGTTTAGTTTTGGCTTGTTTTTGCTCTGCACACACATACTGCAGCCAAGCAAAGCTTTAACGTGAACGCCATTGTTTTTAGACGAGACGAGACCTTAGGAGTGGAGTGGCTATGTTAGCTCCTCGTCTTGCTCTCTGACGAGGCAGCTGCAGGGCGCAGCGCTGTATTTTCCTTGCTGTTTCCGAAGGTGCCCGTCGGTCATGGCAGGAAAGGCTGACAGCTGGGCGGCTCTATTCACAGTGCTGGAGCTTTTGGTGCCATCTTGTCCACATCTTGACTTAAGCAGAGGTGAAGCAGACTGACCCTCAGACCACACCCTTAGTTCATGTCACAGGCAGGAACCACCAAGTGAGGGTCAGCGCACAGACCCAAAAAGGCGGGGCACACTCAGATTCAGACTGCAGCCCCTGCTCACTAGGGCGTTCCCTGTGCACACGCAGCACTTCCTCAACATTCGTGAGCCTCCCCTTCCCAGGCTTCGTGGGCACAGTGTATGCCATTTGTTAGGAGACGTGCTGGGCACTCCATGTGAGAAGCCATGCCTTCTTCCAGTTCTTTGGTTTTGTATCACAGCTCCACTAGTCACGTGATGTGAGGCTGTCCTTCCTTCTTAACATCCCTAGATGCTCCTGGTTTTAAAGAAGCCTGCTCTTTCCACACAGCCAACCGAATCTGCCTCTCCAGCTGTCTGCTCTTCTGCCTGGTGCCTCTCCCAGCTCCTGCCCTTTTTCTCACTGTAGCCCCGGGGTAGGCTGGAACGCTCCCTTTTTCCTGCCAAGTGCTGGGATTAGTGTGTGGGCCATGTCCTAGGCTCTGTTTTACATGTTAACCCCTCCCGTAGAACATCTCTTTTTAAGCAAGAAAGATGGCTTAGTGGGGAAGTGCCTGCAGCCAGTGAGCTGGTCTCTGTACCCAGAAGCCACATTCGGGAAGGGAGGAACCAGCTCCTGCCAGCTCTCTTTGGCCTCCACATGCATGCTGCAGCACAACAGCATGTATGCACCACACATATACACTAAGTAAGTATGATTACTTTAAATCCACTGGGGGAAAAGAGTACATGCATTCTTTTTGGTTTGGTTGGTTTTTAAGACAGGCTCCTAGTTGTAGCCTTGGCTGTCCTGGAACTCACAGAGATCCGGTCTGTCTCTCCTGAGTTCCATCCCACCCCACCTTGGTTTTGGCCTATATGTGTGTAAGGGCACTGTGTGTGTGCCTGGTACTCTGAGAAGCCAGAAGAGGACGTCGGATCTCCGTGGACTTACAGATGGTTGTGAGCCTCAGTGTGGGTGCTGGGGACCGAAACCAGTCAGTCCACTGCAAAAGCAGCCAGTGCTCTTAACCTCTGAGCTGTCTCTTCAGACGGAAAAATTCCCTCCAACCTTCTCTAGACATCTTCCCCGTAAGCTGCTCGGGGTTGAGGAGCGACCCTTGAATTGACGACAAAAGGTTTTTGAAGACGAAAACTGCTGAGGCTTGTCTAAAGAAGTGTTTTAGAGGGACACAAAGAGTTGGAAATAATGGAGAATCTAGGTCTTTTTCTGAGGCTGCCGACGTCAGCTTCAGAGGAGGAGGCCAGCGCACTGCCACAAATGGTTGTCCGGCCAGCCTGCGCCAAAGGCGGTGTGTGAGGTGGCCGCGCTGCAGAGAGGAAAGGGTGCAGTTAGATCACAGTCTCGACGAGTAAAATATATTTAGCGCTAACACTGGCATTTTTCAGACAGCCCTCCAAAATGCAGGTGGGTGTGTTAGGAACCTCCATGACTGGAAAGGCCAGTCTCCTGAATCGGCCAGCTTCTGTGTGGGGCAGGGTAGCAACGTCAAGCCTCACTGTCACAGAGCTGAGCAGCTCAGCTATGATGTCAGCACCATTTCTTCTGTGGCTACTTCACTATGCCCCAGTCTCTGCCCACAAAGGAGTTGGTAAGAGGGTCACCGTGTTGTGAGGATCTGTTTGTTTCTGGTTTTTTTAAACAGGGTCTATTATGGACTCCTAACTTAGCTGGAACTCACTATGTAGACCCACCTGGCCAGGAACTCACAGAGATCAACCTATCTGCTGCTGCACATGCTGCTGCCTCTCAAGGCCCGGGATTAGCAGTGTGTGTGCCACCCCACCTCCCCGCACCATCCCCACTGGTGTAGCAGAGTGACCTTGTCAACACGAGAGTTCAGGGCTCTGAATTTAAGGTTGTAGTAGTTCCCTTTGAACTTACGAGCTGTTTGTATCTGTTTTGTTGTTTGTTCAGGCAGGGTCTCACTGTGTAGCCCTGGCTGTCCTGGAACTCACCGTGCAAATCCAGCTGCCTTGACTCAGAGGCAGCTATCCACCTGGCAGAATGAGCACATTGAATGTGTGATGCAGCCTCAATTCAGAAACTGTTAAAAGTTGGGAAGAAAGAATTCAAATGTGAATGCCTGCAAAGTTTTGCTGAGTTATTTTGCAATGGGAGTTTCTTAGTAAGTACCCTTCTGTCTTCTTGTCCCTGATCAGGGTAGCTAGGGTCTCTGCAGCTAGGAGGCAGGCAGAACCTCTGCAGTAAACCATTAGTGTCTGCTACACAGCAGCTCATGCTTATGCTCTTGAGACAACTCTGAGCTGAGTCAGTACACAGACTTTCGATGTAGTTTATATTCCTGAAATATGCTCAGAATTCAACGGTTCCCTCAGGTTTAACCCTGTGAGCCTTGACACTAAAGGTGGGGTTGCGGGGACA